TATATATATATATATATATATATATATATATATATATATATATATATATATATATATATACAGTAAGATAGCGTTACCATTACGTGATGCATTTTTGATTTAAACAGTAATCTATCCACATAGACCAGATCTTTCAGCTGCACCAGCAAATATCAGATTTTATATCAAAACAACAATGAAAATAATCCATTTAGTCCCGATATGACTGTCATACTCTGTACAGATCTCCTTTATGAATACAGAAACCATTACTGGACATGGGGGTTTAAGCCAATTAAGTGCTCATCATTCACACGGAGTAAACATTTATATAAATAAAGGTCATATCAAATCATCAAGTCCATTTAAATGCTATTTATTGCAATTATTTTTATACATTACTATTACGTTTGGAGATCTTTTCATAGTAATGAAATATGAGTTAACCTTGGTGTCACCTGACCGGGTGTATGGTAATTGTAATTGTTTTTAAACCATAAAAACATAATTTTATAGCCATGAAGTGGCTAAATCACTTGGTATCATTCTTGTTAGAGAGTCTAAAGCAATAATTCTGATTAAATAGTAAGATATGTTGGTGTTCTTCGTGGTTGTTATTATGATGTGCCTGTGATGTGTTGTGAAGTCGTAAGAATTGTGGAACTTGGAAATTAAATCATGAACCACAAAAGGCTGTGAAACTCCTTATCATTCAGTTTCACTTCTCGCTTAAACTTAAAGGTGCACTAAGCGATTTTTGAAAAACGCTTTTGACCACTGTGTAGGACCGAGTCCCAAAACAAACTCGCAGCCAATCAGCAGTAAGGGGCGTGTCTAGTAATGAAAGGGAGAACAGAGCGCTCAGTGAGTGCACAGGACGGATATTAGCAGATCGACTATAGATAGCGAGAGATGGCAGATTAAAAAAAGGGGGGGGGGGACATTTCGGAGGAACAAAACATTAAAATGAAGGGTTACGATCAGGCAAGACGTAGGACAGCGTAAATATCAGAGCAGCTTTCCAGCAGTGGAGAAACTCAAGGGGCGGAAGGGAATCAGACGCCAAGGTTACTTTGTTTCTTCTTAATAGGTAAGTTATGTTGATTTTGCTTTTTTCCCACAACTTTTCTGTGTTGGCTTTTTGCTTGAATATGGTTGGCAGGCATAGCAGATTACACCATCGTCGGTGCCAGTGTTGTGTACGTATGTGTAGGGCAGAGTTATCAAAATAGGGGCGTGGTCCTGTTGGGGTATGGGCGTGTTTGTTTTGGTGCTTTCAAATATCAACATTGTTTGGCAAAAATAATTTTAGTGCACCTTTAAGCTGCCCATTTGAAACAGACCCATTTCTCTTAATGTTTCTCTTTTGCGTATGGGTTCTCCAGCAGGTAGCGATATTTTTCATAGTTGTCCAGCAGGTATTTGGGAGCAAACATATGCTCTTCGGGGTCTGAAGGGGGATAGTCTGGTATAGACCCATCAAACCAACCCCCTGTCTGTATTAACTCTTTAATATAACTTATCTTCCGTTTCTCGCTGTAATCACCCCAGCGTGGGAAGTCTCCATTTTGGGCTGATATGAGTTTGTAATAAATTCCTTCTGGTTTAAAACACCAAGAACAGTGCCATCCAGCGTAGTGAATGGGGCTTCCGATGGCCCATGGTACCAGAATGCGTCCCGTGGAGTTCTCGTATTCCCGGAATCCCGACATGGAATAATACGTCCGCCGTCGAAGAAGAATCCCATTACCATTGTAAACCTTAAAGAGCATAGCTGCCGTGCAAGCAGATAAAACGTTTAGCGTTCCAAACTGCCTCCAGTAGAATCCGTATAGGGATTTGCGCATGTGGATCCCGACTGGTTCCGTCCAGCCATCGTAGAGTTTGAGGAAAAGGATTCCATCTCGAGCAGGAATTTCATCCGCATCATCGATGATGAAAACATCATCCTCTTTGAGGCCCTCAAGCCTCGACATTCCGTTTTTGGTCAAATAAGTGCGTAGGTAATCATCCACGATCCAGCCATCCGAATGGCCGCCATCAGGAAAATGGTCCAGGAAGACGTACAGGATTTTGTGCTTTATGTAGTCAAACATTCCATTTAGGATCTGCTGGCGGAAGACAAGAGGTCTTGAGTCACCGTACGCGGTGAAATTGGATTCACAGACCAAAAACACATCCACAACATCCCTAAGTTCATGGAATCGAGCGTGTAGTAGGTCAAACTCGTGGTTGATGTTGATGGCATTGATGACCCGACGTGGAACTTTTCTGGGTGTTACTTTTGACTTGGATGGGAGATTGGAATGATACACAATGGTAGGGATGCCACAGTGAGGACCGTGCCAACCCTGCCGGCAGGGACACTGAACCACCATCTTGTCTGCATTGATTGCTTTGTCTTTGGGGTTGATTTCTCTGTGATGTTGCAGTAACCTGCGGTGAGATGCGAAGGCGGCCACATCCGTCCCCTCTCTGAAGCACACTGCTCCGGATTTGGTGTGGATGAAAAAGGGTGTGGGATCATCATGGAGTACAAAGGTACGCTCATGAAGTTTCCTATCTGAAGGGTCTGGCAGGATCACATTTGAGTCAACATTGCCCTGTTTGGAAGTAAAGAGTATAATAAAAAAAAAATATATATATATATAGGGGTGTAACGGTACACGTATTCATATGGAGAATTTTCGGTACGGGTTTTTCAGTTCGGTACGCATGTGTAGCTACTGAACAAATACAGCATTGGTTTAACCACTGCATGAGTGGAACTTCATTTGGAAACTTCCAGCTATATTGTTGCTTTTGATAAGAAACAAAGTATCATATCTCAAATATAGAGCTCCGTTTTGAGCTCTTTGATGTGGCGTGACAGATCGCTGTATAAACGTGATAAGTGCGATCGTTCCTTCCTCTTTTACTACTAGTTTTAACGTGAAATAAACATGAATGACTATCTCACGCCTCATGTAATCACTCGATCAGTGTTTCAACCGTGGAAAGACGGCAATAAAACAGCTTGTAAACAAAATGTCACGTAGCATTTCATTTACTTCAGGCAAGTGTCCACAGCAGTGCGCCAGAGAAATGAAGTGCAGAAGAGCATTTGGCGAAATATTAGACTTTATAATCATTATATTTTACTTTGCCTGTTAGTGATGTCTTAATTATTTAATGTATATTAAACTAAATCTGTTATGAAACAGTTCTGAGAGCCACTGTGTAAATGTATAATAAAAAAAAATATATATATATATAGGGGTGTAACGGTACACGTATTCATATGGAGAATTTTCAGTACGGGTTTTTCGGTTCGGTACGCATGTGTAGCTACTGAACAAATACAGCATTGGTTTAACCACTGCATGAGTGGAACTTCATTTGGAAACTTCCAGCTATATTGTTGCTTTTGATAAGAAACAAAGTATCATATCTCAAATATAGAGCTCCGTTTTGAACTCTTTGATGTGGCGTGACAGATCGCTGTATAAACGTGATAAGTGCGATCGTTCCTTCCTCTTTTACTACTAGTTTTAACGTGAAATAAACATGAATGACTATCTCACGCCTCATGTAATCACTCGATCAGTGTTTCAACCGTGGAAAGACGGCAATAAAACAGCTTGTAAACAAAATGTCACGTAGCATTTCATTTACTTCAGGCAAGTGTCCACAGCAGTGCGCCAGAGAAATGAAGTGCAGAAGAGCATTTGGCGAAATATTAGACTTTATAATCATTATATTTTACTTTGCCTGTTAGTGATGTCTTAATTATTTAATGTATATTAAACTAAATCTGTTATGAAACAGTTCTGAGAGCCACTGTGTAAATGATTTCAACAACAAATAAAATATTTATAATTTAGAAGTTAATTTAAAAACTGCATTATGTGCAATTTACATGTTTTGCATAAATTTTTTTCAGATGAGTGTTGATTATTATGTTTAAAAATAAATAGTAATTAAATTTAAGTTTGGGCTCTGTTGTTAATTGTAACCTTATAGTAATGTAAAAGGGCTCCCTATAGTTTAGAGAATAAGCTAGGGTAGATTTTTAATTTTATAATTTTATTATAATTTTAATTATAAATGAATTTATTTAAAGAAAGAGCCATTTGTTCAGTAAACCACTGTTTAATAAAAAAAAGTAAAATAATATATATATATATATATATATGATTTGTTTTCCCTTTGCTGTACCAAAACCATACCGAACCGTGACTATCAAAACCGAGGTAAGTACCGAACCGTCATGTTTGTGTACCATTACACCCCTAATTTAAAACTCAACACAAACCCAAAGTATACATTAAAACCTGGCCCAAATCTCAATGGGTTATCAGGTTGGATAACAGACTAAGAGCTCAGACTAAAACCCTTAGACCTCTAGACATTCTCTTTTGACCCTCATTGGCTCTACCTTCAGGTGGCTGTGTTCATGAAAGTCTTGCTGGGAGTGGAAATCAGCAGCCGGAAAATTCCAGAAGATATCACTGAACATCTTCAGAGTTTTTAGATGGGTGGAGGGAGACGAGAGCTCCTGCAGCAGTGAAATATTGTGCAGGGCTTTGTAGTAATGAAGAAAGGAAATGACACAAATCCCCAGTAAGCACAACAGGAAGACTTTAGACCTTCGTATTCTCATCCTGTAACACAGAGAAAATTATGTTAATGTAAAACATAAGCATGTCACTCAAAATTGTCTGGCTGTCTGAGTGTCCTCTCAGTTCAAAATAACAGCTAATTAAATAGCGGCAAGCTAACGCAATGACACTTAGCAATCTCTTTTTGCAGCGGATCACGGGAGTTGTTCACAAGCATTTAGAGATGAACTAACACGATTTAGTCCTTAATCATATTCTTCTCTCTTACTGAGGTGTTTTTGTTTCAGTCCATGAACAGATGAGCAGTGTTGTGCAACGTTAGCAACCATGGAAAGAGTAGTGAACTGAGTCAAGCGTGAACAGCAGCTTGTGTGCACAAGCTAATAAAAATTCAAAGATGGAAATCCAAAGATATATTATCTGATTGGCTTGCAGTTTGTTTTGCATTAAGCAGACTGGAATGATGAGTATCTCCAGGTTGAAAGTTATAAAACTCAAGACTCACATATATACTGTATATGAAAAATCCATTAAAACTGTGTTTTAATGAAAGAGGCAGCAATCATTTTATATTGAACTAGTATAATATAGATTTTCTTTTCATGGTGGGGTCAGCAAAATGTGCAGGGCAAGCAACAACAAAAAAAACTGACCAGGATAACAAGACCTTCTTGTTGAGCACTTGTCTATCTCATATTTTCCACTTTATGGCCTTACTGCACAGATAGTTCTTAAACCTGTCTCCAACAACCTGGAGCAAAGATCTGACCTGAACTAACAGTCACAATAAAACACACGGTAAGCAATGGGCCAATCCAAAGTGCTCTCACTGTAACATTTGCAAGCTTTCTCATATCGATGACACGCTAATGGTGTCTATGAACATGTCATTTTTACTCAAAGGGATAGTTCACCCAAACCTGTATGAGTTTTTTCTTCTGTTGAGCAACAAAAAAAAAAATACTGTTGAAAAACATATTCTTCAGAATATCTTTTTTTGTCAGCAGAAGAAAGACACTGATACATGTTTGGAATGATATGAGGGTGAGTAAATGATGACAAAATATTCGTTTGAAATCTCTTTAATGCCTTCATACACTATGTAATGTTGTTCGGAAATGAATAAGCAAATGTTCCCACGCCAGACAAAATCTTTTGAATCAAGGAAGCAGTTTTACTGTCGCAACATGTTACATTCCAAAAAAAAGAAAAAAAAGAAAGGAAATTAATTGAAAAGGGGAGAAAAAACCTACAAACACTGAAAAGAGATAGGCATGAACCAGGGTTTTTATCAGTAACTAAAACCATAAAAAATACGTTTTCATTACTTAAATAAACATTAACTGAAACAAAATATATTTCAATTCAACATTTCTCATTTTTTTTTAGTTTGACTAAGTTTAACTAAAAAGAGAGAAGCTGAGTGAATAATTCACCTGACCCGTGAGCTCAGTTTTTCTCTTATCACCATTTTCTTGCCTCGCAGTGTTAATATTGAACAGGACAAACAGAATCTATTGCTGAACTACAATTTATATCCTCAATCATCATGTTTAAGCATGGTTTTATATAGTACGAAGGTCAGTGTTTGACCATATGATGAATAATTTTTGTCTTCAATTATTAACAAAGAGACTGCCAGTTATGACTGCCTTCAAATTTATATATATATATATATATATATATATATATACACAGGTGCATCTCAATAAATTAGAATGTTGTGGAAAAGTATAAAAAAAAAATATTTCAGTAATTCAACTCAAATCGTGAAACTCGTGTATTAAATAAATTCAATGCACACAGACTGAAGTAGTTTAAGTCTTTGGTTCTTTTAATTGTGATGATTTTGGCTCACATTTAACAAAAACCCACCAATTCACTATCTCAACAAATTAGAATACTTCATAAGACCAATAAAAAAACTATAATAAACATTTTATTTTATATTTTTATTTTTATTTAACTTGATAGCAGGCATCCTGAATTTATTAGTTTAACCCATGTCTTTTCTACTAGTCTAGAGGACAATTTAAAATAAAATGAGACAGATTACCTGACTTTACCCAATCCAATAAAGTATTAAAAACCAGTCAGTCTCTTGAAACCACAAAACTGTGATTTTATGGCGTGGTTTTATGGCGTGGTTTTTTGTGTGTTTATATTCATGGCCCTGAGAGTGTGCTGCCAGACAGACATGAACCATCCTTCCAAAACAACATGCTGAATCTAAAACATCACACAGTTACATTCACAGGACGACCTGCGAGTACGGACGTTGTTTGTGCTTGCCTGAGCTTGTGATGATGTCATATATCCTGAGTCCCTGCTTAATTTCTGACTGAAGGCCTTGTTTTGGTCATCACTCATGAAATACAGGTGGGGCAACACAATGCAGTTGGTTAAGGTGTGACTCTGGACATATATCTGAGCTTAAAACACATCCCAAAGCAACCGTTACAAAGCTCTTTTTAGCAGATAAAGTAATAGGACAGATTACATGCATGTTCTTGCTTGTTTTACCTTTAAGCAGTATTAGTATGCACTGTTAGACATTTCAAAAGGTAACACAGTAACTTACTGGCAACACTGTTGCCGTGTCTACCTCGGACATGAACGACGTAACGCAACACGACAAAAGACAATATAGAACCCATTATAATCAGTGATACTATCTACAACAAGTAGGGATTACTGCTGGCTGGAGCAGTGGGCATGCCGAAAGATTAGGGTGCGGGTGTGCCGAAAGGTAGGCGGCGTGGATAAAGGTCTATCTAATTTAGGGTGACTAGACGTTCCCGTTTTCCGGTTTTTGGTGTCCTGTACAGGATTGGAGCTGTCACCGGAAATGTCCCTGTTTTACAGCACGTTCAAAACAACTATTACTTTCAGCAGCAGAGGGCGCTGCGAGCTACTGTAGCCATGAAGAACTTGGACGAGAGCCGAGTGCTATTATAATCAATTATCAAAAGAGACACCGTTATTGGTTTCAAGGTAGTCACATATTAACTATACATGTTAAAACAATTATATTGTAATATTGTTTGTGTGCACTTTATGACAAGGTATAATAAGGTTGCAAGATTGTTTTGCACACATTATTAACAATTCCTGAAACTTTCGCCGCAGTGACGGCGCTACACCGGGGCTAGGGGTGGCTATAGCCCCATCAGATTTTTTAATAGCCCCGGTTTAGCCCCATTTCTTTATTAAGTAACTCTGACGTCATCAATATCATTTATTTTCTTAGCACCCCCACATATCGGTCTAGCCCCCCCTTAGCACCGGTAGAGAAAAAATTCTGGCGCCGTGCCTGTTTCGCCGTCACAACTCCGAAATGAATATAAAAGATAATAAACTAAACAATTGAACTAGCAACAAGCACATACTTTGTGGTCAAAATTTGCCTAAAATGCAAAATAATAAGCCTGATTAGGGATAGTAAAAATCCATTTCCATAAGCATAAACAAAATTACTTAATTCACTCAAAATCATTTGAAAAATTGCAAGTAGCCTACTTTATACCCACAGTTTGTGAAAATGTTCAACACAGTCAGAAAATGTAAAAAAAATATTTGTTAAATGCAGTTTATGGTATGATCTGATATTTAGTGTTTTATTTATATTTAGTTTTTGTAAATAAGTTTGTTATAATCCTATTTTGATCTGTTTACTATTTGCAATAGTTACTATTTACTTTTCACTTTTCATAGTGTGGTTTTTGGTGAATTGTAGGCCTATTAATAAACATCATTGCAATTATTAATTATGATAGGCCTATTAATTTAATATATGGAAACCACAACTATTAAAAAACAAAATATACCCATTTTTTAATTTGTAGATAATCACAAGTGAGATTCATTGACATTTTGACCACTGAACTAGGAAATGTCCCCGGTTTTCATTTCAGAAATCTGGTCACTTTATTCTACTTGGTTAGGGTTAGGGGTTTGTTTCTGTTGTAGCATACACCTTTCGGCACTTTTGCCACGCCCATTACTCCGACCTGCAGCTACCCCTGTCTAATCTACAATGGATGTCGGACAATAAACTGATGCCCCAGTAGTACTCCAAGCACTCGCACTATTTCTGACATGAAGGACAAACTGATTTGCCAATCATTACAAGCGATTTAACACATCCAATGTAGACAGTCCCAAGCTGTTGCGGCATTGTAGACAGGGTGTAAGGCAAATCCTGTCAATCCAAATGCAAGAAATAAGGAAAATAAAAAACCTCAATGGAATGGCGCCAAAAAGGCCACTATAGCAAATACAGTAGTATACAGGAATTTAAAAAAAAAATACAGTAAGTCTCTGTATGTGGTGTTTGACGTCACAGAAAATTCCCATGATGCAAAGGGATTTACAATTATTTACTGTAATGGGAATTTGCAGTATTATACTCGGTGATTTATAGTAAATAACTGTAGAAATGATAGAAATGTCTATAAAAAGCCTCCGGTATGTTTAGAAGTTAGTAGACATTTACTCGCTCATTGCGTCAAACCCACGTGTTGTTATTATTTATGTCAAGCAGAAAAGGAGATATCTAAAGAATATTCATGCAGCTTTTTTTCATACAATGGCTGCAGTTTATGTTCGCTCCAACTGAACCAGTCCACCTACCCATCAGACCAGTGCTTACAATCCAAATGAGCTTCTATATAAATCAATAATGTTTTGCACCACATGTCGTCATTATCCAGCAAAACTGTTTAAATAAACTTATGGAGTTAAATTACATATATACTGTATATATATGTGTGTGTGTGTTTAGTGCACATTAAAACATTTTTTATTTTCATTTTTCAGAGACATTTAAAAAGGGCATGACCCCTCTTATCTTTAGTGCTTGTTTATAGAACAGAATAAACTATAATGTTAACAATCACCCAATATTCACACTTCCTGTTTAACAATGTGTAAGTAAGTGTGTGTGTATGCGTGTGTTTCTTCAGAGGGCACCAATGCCAGGGGCACAATGGCTCTTTTTTTCAGCCAGACTCCCCCTCTTCTAATTCTCAAATGTCAACAT